GTTCATGTTTGCTCTGGTCCTATTTTGTATTGTTTAATGGACTTTTGAACTTGAATACTGTTCGTTATTTCCATACACTGCATTACTAATTTATACAACAGTATAAATGTATCGTAGCCACGCAAGTGAACAATGACTGGAATGTGACTGAATGGTTAGCCTTCCATTCAGTTACATTTTAATACTTTCAGTGATCATCCAGTTGACTGAATGGCACAATTACATCTCGTGTACGTGTTTAAATACTCAAAACTTTAAAGAACATTTAGAATTGAAAACAATTTTTTAAATTTAAATGAAATATTTGTAGTGATGTATGAAGGAAGTCTTTGTCATTGATTTTAACAATATATTTATGTAAGCTCTATTCATAATACTGAATTATTTAAAGAAAAGCATCTTTCAAATGAAGGATATAGAGATAAAAAAACACACATGTGTTCAGACCCATTTACATTAATTTTGGAAACAGAGCTGTTATGTTTCGTTGGACTACGTAAAACAAATCACGTTTATTTTCACAGGGGTTTACTTCCTCTGCGTGCAATATTTCGTATAGTGGGAGTCCCGGGCAGTGCGTGCGACTCTCGTCAGGAGTGGACTATTACATTAGTAGTAAGTTTTTCTTACATGCTTAGTCATTTAATTTGATGCTGAAATGTTAACCAATATTCTATATATCATATGTACCAGAAAGAGAAAAGAAATTTAACAAAATTAAGATCTCGAAAGATTAGAAAAGCTGAATGTTTTCTTTTTTATATTACATAACTTGTATTACTAGTAATTCCACGTTTCAGAGGTTCAACATCTCGAAAAAACCAACAACTTTTTAAAAGGAATTATCAGGGCAAATATTGTGGAGAGAAAATATTAACGTTTTTATCGATTTATGGAGATGGGTGAACTTAGCGTGCAAAAACCCACAAGCTTCAGATATATAAAAATCATATTCAAGTTCTCATCATTGATTTTTGTAAAATCATGATAAAAAAAAAGTTTTGAGGAAAATTTTTCGTTGAAATTTATTCTTTTATAAAGAAAAATAATGTGGCATCCACTGCGTTCGAACCCTAGCAATAAAAATCCTGAGTTGCATTCTCTATTGAGACTAGCACGCTAACCACTACGCTACACAAGTCCTGATGAAGTGTGGCATTTAAATCATGTTTGTGATATGACCATTGACTTAAGGGACTTCAAGATTTTCTCGAAAAGATACGAAAGTTATGTCATAAACTTATATTTTTAAGGTACAGTGGGTCATTGCTCCATAATTTTGGAAACCAAAATATGTATGTTTTTATGCAAACTTTGAGGATTACCTTTCAAAAAAATGGAGAGAAGACCCACTCATAACGAAAAATAGTGTTATAGTGTGAAAAAATGACTCGTTTTGTCCTCTTTCGTGTATTCATAATATTTCATAGGCAAATAACTTCAATTTTCATGAGATTTGTGCAAGTTGTAGAGACTTTACATAAAGTATACTTTAATGTTAGATGAAATATTTAGGAAAATTTTGATATAATTGAGATTTAATTTTTCACCTTCATGTTTGTCGCGCTATGGGCTTATCTCTCGTCATGTTCATCCATCTCCTTTGATACAGAATATTTTCTTTGGTTACAGAGTACCGATCCTGTCCTTCAAACTACCGCCACTCACCTGTCCTTAACTTCTGTTATCGCCCTTTTCCAATACAACTAGACTTTCCCACCGCTAGGAGTCACTGTGAAAGTTTTGGAGACCGTCTGGCCATTCTTCCAACCATGGCACATATTAATTATATCAAAGAAGGTACATGTATATTATTAAGAACTTTACAAACAATGGCTAAAGTTAAACAAACAAATAAATCTGTTTACCCCCTTGTATTTACATTTGCTAATATCTTTCTTAGATGAACCTATTGAAGAAAAAATATGTTTAATTCTGTGTGAATGTTATTTGGGGGTCAGAGGTCATAGCGCGACCGAATCACAGAGCGAGGTGTTTTTGTCTGTCACGGTGAAACTTGCTTTGGAATATTCCTAAGTTAATAAAGATGAAAAAGATAAAATGATAAACAATAGGGATATTTTTCAATCACGAGATGCACAATAAATTCTCTTTCGATGTGAATAAGGTTTTGAAGACTAATTAATCTAAAACCGCACTTGCCTTTTTAACCCAAAATTCCTTTGGAGTTGTGTAAACTAAAACAGGCGATACCACCGCTTTTGACTTCAAATATTGTAAGAACTTATGAAATAGTTAGATTATTCTAAGCAGCGATCATTGTTCTTTCACTATATACAGATATTTCCTGAACTGGACTGCTAAACATGAATATAAACATTCAAATGAACTAACTTTGACCAAACAACTTATTGCGCGTCATAACAGGGCTATACGGCGGCCCCTTCGTGTAATATATGCAATTTTACTCGAAATTTATTCGTTTCAAATGTAAATATAAGTAATAAACAACAATGTTAAAAAGTTCACTGGGAAATGAACTTTGAGTTGGAACGTTATCAAATCTACTGAGAAGCCCTTCGGGCTTCATAGGATTTGATCACGTGACCAACTAAAAGTGCATTTCCAAGGTAACTTTTTAACATTGTTGTTTATTTCTTAATTTAACTCTACATAATCGATCATTGATTAAAAATATTTAATGAGTATTTGAAAACGTCCAATTTTTTAACAGAAACAAGTGAAATAAATATGTACCTGTAGTTGATAATACCAGGGTACATGTATTTGTCTTAGTACTGATGGGTATTGAAATAATAATTATGCACATTTTCCCTGTGATATTATTACAGAGAAACTGAGTGGATACCTCACTGGCCTGAAGTTTTGGGTGGGAGGTCAGTGGGATATCGCCGCAGGACAATGGCGATGGTTGGACGGAAGTTTGATATTCAATGGCATTGATATCACATCATGCCGCATTCTGACCGATTTTGGTGCCATCGTATGGGAGAAAAACTATAATCTAATGGATAGATTACCTTCTAGAGATGAAAAGTTCTTGTGCGAAAAAGTATTGGATTAGAAATGAACTTTTCTTAACAGAATGATCTCAGTAGATTTGAAGCTTCTGTTGGAAGCCAACAAAATAGAAATAAAGTTACTCTCACTTTACCATATAACGTAGTTTTGAAGTATTTTTTCACGCCTGGCAACCTTAAAACGGGTATGGGGTAGACGCAATACCTTGTCCTGTCTGCTATGGCGGTTATAGTCACATACTCAGGAATAAAGAAATGAGTATTACACGTGGTCTAAATCAGAGAAGATTTGAAGATGATACATTTATGAATTCATATACTAGGAATATACATATCTTTTTAATGATCTATTAAAAGTCAGCGTAGTAATCGGTAAATGTGATGTCGAATTCTTCTTGAACATGTTTTTATTTTACGCAAGCTTTTCATTAACTCGAAGAAACGTAAATGTATAACGAGAATTTGGTAATACAAGTATTATGATACTTTTGTAATACATGTAGAATACTTTCTTTATTCTTATACTCACGCTAATACATATCTTATAAAATTGTAAATAAACTACGTATTCCCACGTGTTTTACCCCGCAATATTTCTCTCCTGTCAAAATAATAAAAATGGAAGATAAGGTTCTGATAGCAGTGTCTATCATCGTACTATGCACTGCTTGATATATTCCAAAAGTCCTCTTCCCCTTCCCGTAAAACCACGAGTTTTTCTATATCTTTACTTGAATTGCGGCCATTATTATTTACCATGTGCTTTTTTTCAGTAATGATATAAATAGGATGACTCCCAATGGGAGTACATTTGATTTCTATTTTGGATAGGGAATCGCAATCTGTAACCCGGTTTCTGCTAGTAAAATACAAAACCGGACTTTGCGCGCAGAGACATTTTCTTTTCCAAAAACCCAATCTAGCAGAATAAAAGAATTGTGTTTGGCACTGATGGCCAATCACTTCAATAGGTTTATGCATTTACTTCACAAATTGAATCCTTTGAAATTAATAAAATATTTGCCATGCATTCAAAAACAGTCTTTTCATGAAGTTTTCCTTTATACTTTATATATACAGTTAACGTCTTTATCTGTGGAGTTGAAACCAATCAGCCAACGACATCACCCCCGGGACGAGATCTACAAATAAATATTTCAAATCATTTTAAAAAAAATGTTTTCTTTTTTAAAACCAGACAGCACAATCCTCTATAAAATATGATACCCCTCAAGAATCTTAAAATAAAGTGTTAATAATTTAACAATTTTCTCAAAAATGAGGTACATCATCACTCATTAGTGTAATATTCTTTTTCTAATCCCAACGGAAATTCTTTAATTTGCTGACACATGTATCACAATGTCAGTTAATGCCTGTTTATTGTTAGAGTCATTTAGAGTCATTTTAAAAATAGAAATCAAAATAATAATTATGAATGATTTTGGTGAATTATTATGGATTACAAAAATATATTTTTAGGAACGTGTTATCAAACTTTAATCGACCATAATTTTCTGCATATTCTTAAACCGAGGCAAGCTACTGACAGAGAAGTTGAAGTAACTGGGATTTAAATAATCCTGTTTAAATACAGCATTTCGTGATTTCCATTGTTGTTAAAATGACTTGTTTTCAAATATATCTATCATTGTTTCATATTTTGATTGACATATGTCATACAAATTGTTTGACTTCTGTTTTTATACAAAAATTGACTAAATTTGGCCAAAGGTAATAAACAAATATAAACAAATATCAGGCATTTAAAACTCTTCTGAATAATCAGACCAGAAAAAATAATAAAAATAAATAAAAAATAAATTGATACATTTTTTTAAATAAATAAAAATATTGTGCTTGTTATTATCATTTCTATTTCTCTCATAATGGACCTAGGCAAGGGTTTGACTGACCAAAATTTTAAGAAAATAATAAAATTTTTATTTACAATTTTAAAACTCTGTTAAGATATATTAACTTATTGTTATTATATTGCCTTTGAAACGTTAGTATATAAACATTGTTTTACAGTAAAAATAATTATTTGGGAATCTTTGTTTGAGGAAAAGTCTCGACCAGAAGAGGAAAAGACTCGCTTTAAAGTGAGTCTTTGCCGGGAGAAGTTTCACTATATAGCCAGCCTTCAGAGGGATATCTGGCTATGGTAGAAGTCTCACCATACGACACCGATCACATGTAAGAAAAAAGTACGATATGGTAAGATATTTTGTACAATATTTTTTGTTCCAAGTGAAAAAAACAAATATGGATATTCATACGTTAATGGAAAAAACAACGCCGCATTGATAACTCAAAACATGACTGTTCTATTCAGACGTACAGCTGACCAGGCGTGAAGCCATTAGATACATGTACCATTAGAAACAGTCATATGAAATAAAGTCAATTAATTTTTAGACACTTACTCTCTTTCACAAATAAAATGGCGTTGCTGGTCGCATGGTGTGTCATTCCAAAGAAAACTGTTCCATTTTATTTCCAAGCAATGCTCATTATTTCCTTCATTATTTGGCTCCCCTGGCATCCAGGCTGTGTACCCCATACTAAGAAGTGTTTTACTTGTCATCCACATCCATTCCCCTTCCAAAATAATGTCACTTCCACCGAGCCAGAACCCGTCTATAAAATTAAATAAATGGGGGCCAGTCATGATAAAAAATAAAAAAAGTTATACTAGGTAATGTACTCTCATCCCTAGAGAAATTTAAATATATATACGAGAGATGATCAAAAAGTTCGCGAACTAATTGAATAGCTTCCATAAAATAATTAAAGTAAGTTTTCAGTGTTTGTCATCTCTCACGAGAGATGACACATTAAGTTTGATTTCCGGATGTGAGGTCCCAGTGTAAGCAGCCATTAAAAATCGGTAAGCCTCGGATGATTACGCTCGTGCGGGGCAAGTACTATCCGAGGAGCACCGAGTGGTCACTTTGATGATGATGCGATTTTCTAAATATAGAGAGGTAAACAATGAGCGACCCAAACATTGGAAAAGAAAAAGGGCTGCACAGGAATCACAGCTAGAGGACCAGACACACAATATCGCCATGGTGTTCAAAATATATGTACTTATTTAATCATGTTTACATGTAGGCTACTGCGTAAATGATCTATGGTGTGCACCAGATGGAATATTCTAACTAGGTCAGCGCGTTAAATCACAAATGATCTGCTGAGGCGTGGATCCAAGAATTAACAGAAAAACAACATCAAAGTTAATACATTTACATTTAGTACTATAAACTGCTATGAATTGATGTCGAAAACTTTTTTAAGGTTGTCATTCTATAATTTATTGCCATTTTTCCATAATAAAAATACATGTATGGGGATAAGAAGAGACAAGAATATATTTGAAAAAAACTACTAGCATTGGAAGAAAACTCTGTCTCACAAAGAGTATGATCGAGTATTTTCTTGAATGTTTACAGTTTTCTTTTTAATCATATACCCCGGTATAATAAAAGAACTTGCAATCATTTTTTATACAATTTTCAATTGTATTAATAGCAAAAAAGTATTCAAATCACCTTTTCTATTTCATTGAAATGAAGCCAAAATTAAAATATATTCCTAAAACAGTCGTAAATTCAGGGTTGGCAAATTGGGATTTTTTCCAGATAATTCGTGAATGCTTAATTTTAGCTGATACCTTTTAAATTTTACTATCATATTGCGCTAAGTGGAACTTGGTCAGCTGCTGTTACTATCTTGAGTGTGTTTTTAAATAAATTAACAAATACAAATGCATTTAAAATTCTTTTAGTTATAATTATATTATGTGAATTTAAAAAAATTTCTCGGAAAATATGAATTGCTCATTGATTTTATCTGAATAGTATACGAAGGTATGAAATTAATTGCCAATTCATTCTTTCCTTTATGTTTAACGTATTTTAAATTGACATCCAAATTTTCTTTCAAAAATGTAATTATTCCAAAGTTAGATACATGCCTATATGAAGATTATAATCCTTTCACATACTAAAGTATGACGGTAAAAGATCTCAACCCCCCTTTTCTGTTAGTTTGAATTCCATTTCTAATGCATCAAATTCTTTTGATATAATATATTTAGACACAAAATGACTTATACCGGTAATAATTTTGATTTCATGGACCGGGCGAAATGACTGAAGTCTGCAGAACACCATAATATACAGATAAAAGTAACACTCTCAAATATTTTTTATGCAAAAGTAATTAAATTTAAATATTTGAAAAAAAAAAACCTTAAACGAGGAAAATTCAAATCATGACAAGGTCAAAAACTTTATATGTATCTCACACAACTTTTCTGGCTGATTTTCTAACGGTACAAAGATCTCAACACCTCTTTTCTGTTAGTTTGAATTTCATTTCTAATGCATCAAATTCTTTTGATATAATATATTTAGACACAAAATGACTTATACCGGCAATAATTTTGATTTAATGGACCGGGCGAAATGACTGAAGTCTGCAGAACACCATAATATACAGATAAAAGTAACACTATCAAATATTTTAAATGCAAAAATAATTAAATTTAAATATTTGAAAAAAAAACCTTAAACGAGCAAAACTCAAATCACGACAAGGTCAAAAATCTTTATATGTATCTCACACAACTTTTCTGGCTGATTTTCTAACGGTAAAAAGATCTCAACCCCCCTTTTCTGTTAGTTTGAACTCCATTTCTAATGCATCAAATTCTTTTATATAATATATTTAGACACAAAATGACTTATAACGGCAATAATTTTGATTTAATGGACCGGGCGAAATGACTGAAGTCTGCAGAACACCATAATATACAGATAAAAGTAACACTCTCAAATATTTTTTATGCAAAAATAATTAAATTTAAATATTTGAAAAAAAATCCTTAAACGAGCAAAATTCAAATCACGACAAGGTCAAAAATCTTTATATGTATCTCACACAACTTTTCTGGCTGATTTTCTAACCGAATATGTTTCAATCAAACGTGTCCCAAAATTAGTAGTTTTAGGATTTTCCATATAAAAGAGTTTTCTAAACACGATTTATATATAGTTCAGTGTGAAATGCTTAAGCATGAATCGTGATATTATTTAGAAAATTTCAGAAAAATATGTTTTCTTCAAATCTGAGTCCCTGCCCGGCCCTTTAACCTTTCACTGTTGTAAATGCAAGTTCACTGCAAGTCATCTCCCTTATCCATACTTTTTCTTTTAGTATATATAGTCATGTCTTCTCCAAATAAATGGTTTTTCAGAAAAAATCAAAAACTTTAAACCTTTCCTTCCCATCTACAACATACGATTTTGGAGTTTGAAAGCTACCCCTTTTCCTGTGTTCAATATCTAATTACCATTCCCCTTAAAATAATAATAAAAATATTCTGTCTTTAATAGAAAAATGTTACATTCCACTGTTTATTCTTTGACACAGATGGAGCCAAAGAGATGACATTTAAGGCTTTCTGGAAAGCCAAACTTGTAAAGTAATTCCTCTCCGAATTTAATGCACATCTGTCACGGTTCTGCCCATGCGCAAATCACGTGGTCCAGACACTCACGTGACATGCTCCGTAGCATTCTGTTTACAGAAGATAAAACATTTTAGAGTCATATATCTTACCATTCAAGTTATTTTACATAACAAGAACAGTTATTTGTCAGAAGTAATCTAATGTTGGAAAAAGGATAGGTGGATAAGGATATCTTTTCCCAGAAAGAACATTGTGGCCATCACATACCGAGTCCTCTGACTTAGGAACGTCATTTATCTAATAGGGATATATACTTTAATCATATCTGATATATTACACGATATTTTAGGGATTTAATATTTACAATTATTATTGTTAGGATGTTCAACTATTTTTCTATTCATAACGTCATAACTAATTGGTGATCTTTCATAAATTGCTCAACTAAGGACACATCTCTTTCCAAGGGGTGGCATAGTGGTTAGAACGTCTGCCCTAGAGTCGCAAAGGAGTTTATCCTTATGTCGCGGGTTCGAATCCCACTTTTGGACGTGAAGACCGGTCCTTCGAACGAGACCGTATAAACCGAGGTCCCGTGTCGCAGTACCTGTAGGTGCTGGCACGAAAAAGATCCCTCACTGCTCAATGACCCTTGTGCCGAGAATAGGGCAAAATTGAAGAAGTTCTCCATCGAGAAGTGGTGGCGTCTCCATATGAGTGAAAAATTCTCGAGAGGGACGTTAAACAACATACAATTAATCAATCAATCTTCCCCAGGTTTCTTTCACTGGACATCAAAACAAATTTCATTTTTAACCATCCGTCTTCCTTCACTAAAACAATCAATTATTGAATTTGTCTTCATAAACCTTGTAGAAATTATTATATGCTACTGCATAGGAATTTCCAAGTTATGCGTTAAACTTTACAGCCCTTCGTTGCTCGAGTAAGACTGTGTCAACCATGCATTTTTTGTCATAAGTCACCTAAACACTGACTTCATTTTCACATTGTGAAGTTACAATCATGAAGCAAAACATTATCATGTGCTATTTACAGAACATGTGTATGACTATATATGTGCCAAATTTTATTTAAGAAATAAGATATCATTTTGAGACTTTCATTGGGATATGAAATCGGTCACATGATCGAATTCAATAACGCCCGAAGGGTGCTTTAGTAGATTTGATCAAGTACCGACTTCCATGTCATGTCCCAATGAAACTCTAAAAATATGACATTTTATTTCTCATATTTCTATTTGTATTCACATAGCAAAAACAAAATGCACTATTTAGAGTTTGTTGTTGAATTGCAACATAACGTATATATACGACGTCATATGACGTCATAGTCAAGACTTTCCAAATGTCTTGCACGGTTTTAATTAGTACTGTCATAAAAGGAAAGACATTGGCAAAGGTAAATATTCTAATCTGAATTGTGGGTTTGTAATTATAGGAATAATTCGCAAACTTTTTGATCATACTTCGCAAATGTCTGTTATTAAGAAAAACGTCAACTCCTGAGCTGAAACAATTTTCATCAGGCTTGATATGTTTCTTGGTCTTTGCATGTACCACTAGAATGTATTTTTTGTTAATGATGCTTAAGGTTGAAGCTTACTTCCTTTTCCAAGTTGCCTCACGTGCTGCGCTAAAAAGTTTTCTTCAATTGACGTCTGTACTTCAGCAAGCTCAGATTCAAAGTTTTTACAGAAGTTCTATGATGTATAAACGTTTTATTCAATTCCTTATCATTAAGTGGAATATACAATCAATGGTTATTATATTTGATGGCAAGTTTCATTAAAATTCTGATATAAAGGAACGCTGTTCAATTTTCAAGTAAGATGACAGAACATTTTACGAAAGTTCTATATTCTTTCTGAAAGTTCTGAGTACATGTGATTCTTCGAGGTTTCTTTGAAAAAATTTGTAAACTGTGAAAAGAAACATGTATCAGAATACACAATTTACCAAAGCGTCGTTCCAGTCTAACATTGTATGATCCACAAATAAGTAACATTGTCCACTATGCTTTATCCAATTATCTGGACAGTCAGCTTCGATGGCGTTCACGCCTAGATAGTGTATGAAAAATGTTAATATAGCCTGTTACTCTTAAACACATTTTTTAAAGCATCTCTTAAACAACGGATGCGTTAAAAGATACCAATCTGTACTGAGATTCACGATTTCCAAACATCTTATTGTTGCTTATTATAATATTAATGAATATTTTTCGCAGTTCAAAGTTTTTACAAGCTTAAAATATTATAAACTTAGATAACGAATAATTGCCTTTAACAAATTACCATGATGAATCAATCAAATCCTAACTAAAAACATAATCAAGTTTTAAGTTTAGAATGTTGTATAGATTCTGGAAATTTATATTTTTAACAAGATGTGTTTGTGAAACACTGATGCCCCCGTATGGCAGCGTAGGATGATTGAAATTTCTCAAATGCAAGTCAAAATCCAACGTCAAGGTCAAAAGATCAAATTTGTTGTAACCGAAAGGAGGTCTTCTCACAAGGAATACACATGTGAAATATGAAAGCCATATTACTAATGGTGCAAAAGTTTTGGTCCAGGATAAAGTATTTTTTAAGTGGGTCAAACTTTAAGATCAAGGTATAAGGTCAATAATCAAAATTGTTGGTGTTTAAGGAAGGTCCTATCACAAGGCATATACCTGTGAAATATGAAAGCCAAAGTACTTACAGTTCAAAAGTTATGTTCAAGATTAGTGTGTTTTAAAAGTGGGCTAGACTCTAAGGTCAAGGTCAAATATTTTAAAACTCAAATGAAATGTATTGTCACAGTTAATGTACATTTTAATTATAAAAGCCTTAGCACCATTTTTTTCAAAAGTTATGACTACGGTTAATGTCCGTAAAATTTTGGTAAAAGTGGGTCAAACTCAAAGGTCAAGATCACAAGGTCAAATTTGGTGGTACTGAGAGAAAGATCTTGTCACAAGCAATACTCCTGTGAAATATGAAAGCCACAGCCCCACCCACTCAAAAGGTATGGACAGGGTTAAAGTTTTTGCAGATAAACAGACAGTTAGACAAACAGACGGACGGACAGGGCATAGACGATATACCCCAAATCTTCGATTACAGGGGCATAAAACAGCACAGCACCATGGATAAAACAGAACCTTCTCTACACTACTGAGTTCTGATTCTATGGTATTCTTCTGCAGTAAAAGTGAGTTGCCCTTACATATATATTCTAAAAATTAAAATTTACAGTATATTACTCAATTGTAATTAATTCAGCTAAACTACGGAAGCCCATTTAGGACCTATCGCAAAATATTTTGAATCCGATATAACGAATTGTCGAATTTTTTTTATAATGAATTTAATTCGTTATAACAATTTCTCTGAATTCGTTATAATGAATTTAATCTGTTATAACAAAGAAGAAGGTATGGTTTTTGCTTTATTGCGCCCTAAAAATGTAATAATATCAAATAGTTTTGAAACTGGCTTAAATATTAGTTAAGTATATGACTGTGATAAGTCAGGAAAGAATATGGCATGAATGCTTACCATTCTGCAAATATGACGTCATTAATGTGATGCATTTATCTATTTTCAACAGAAAAAGCCTCAAAATGGCCCATTTCAAGGGTGATTTTCCTTTAGAAAATAGTGTCCACAGCCGTCGCCCAATTTAATTTTTTGATATTTAGTGCAAAAGTCAATAACAAATCACATATCTCAAGATCATTGTGGGCGATGACTGTGGACAATATTATTTGAAAGAAAATTCCATTGAAAATTGGTGTCTTCTGCAACTTTGGAAGAAAATATGGCAAAATGCACATGTTTATGACGTCAAAATTAGCATTTTAAAACACATGTAAGAAAAATGATTTGTATGATTTTTTCTGCATTGAATTTCAATTATTCAGAAAGCAAGAGTTTTCAACTTTTACACCAGTTTCATTTTTTTAGAAAATCACAGGGCAAAATTTTTATGGAAACCATATCTTGTTCTTTGTTGATTTCGTTATATCGAATTCAAAAATTTGTTAATACGAATTAAACTTGTATAACGAATTGAATTCGTTTAAACGAATTCCATAATTTATTATAACGAATTAAATTCGTTAAAACGAATTCGACAAATCGCTATATCGAATATATATATATATATATTTCTGTAGGCCCTGATTATTGAATTTGATTAAGCGAATTTAATTCGTTATAACAAACTTTGGAATTTGTTTAAACGAATTTAATTTGTTATAACAAATTTTTGAATTCGTTTTAACGAATTTAATTCGTTATAACAAATTAAAGAATTCGTTATAATGAATTCAACAAATTTGTTATAACAGATTAAAATCGTTATAACAAATTCAAAGAAATTGTTATAATGAATTAAATTCGTTATAACAAATTCGACAATTCGTTATATCAAATTTCAAAAATATTTTTATAGGTCCTAAATGGGCTTCCGTAGTATGAAGTAGTATGAAACACATGGAGATAACGAAACAGTATTTAAGATCAAAAGTCCATAAAAACAATACAAAATAGGATCAGAGCAAACACGGACCTTCAAAACGTGGGATCAGGTGCCATGTATTCTTAACATTTTAAAGACAATATAAAATAATCAAACATGTTATCTGCAAGTATTGTCTCTGTGAAAGTAAATAACAGTGATTCTGTTCACTGATACTATTTTGTGTTTGAATATTTTTCCTGGGGTTAAATTTAAATAGTAAAGCTCAATATTATTACTTTAATACAAAAATGTTTCTTAAGGTAGTCCGATCCTCAGGTTTATAAAATTAGCAGTTTAGTAATCAAAAATACTCATAAGAATAACTCTGAATCCACAAAGTTATGTAAATTTATCCACAGTGTTTCTTCAAAGTTAAAGATTAAAGTTTATCGTATTATATAGGGAAAATGGTCAAATCTCCAAAATATCAGCAATGCATTTTCTAATTGCAAATTGATCAACAAATATATTTTAGGTTTAAAAACTATAGGTATCCAGGCATTCAGAGAATTTGTCATGATTTATTTTATTTATTTGGTATTTTTTGTCTTCTATTTCTGTCATGTATCTTATAATACATAGTGTAAAAGGCTTTTGCTATCATTGCAAGACACCACAAATCACTTCTCATTTCATATCATGCTAATAAGCATTGGAATCTAAGTCTGGATTCAAGAAAATCTTATTTCTCTAAAAGTGTATTATTTTTTTTCCTCCTTTTATAGGGTACAAATGTCAACTTTAATACGACCATTTCTAAGACTTCCAAAGACCTTGCATCTTATAAAGATGAATTAGATGAAAATTGTTGCATGAAAAAATTTCATTTTCAAGCTTCATTTTGATGCATTTCAAATAAAATATTAATTTTTGGAGTTATCCTTCCTGGCTGAGGATCGGATATCCTTAATGTCCAGAACATTTTGCAATGGTGTAGAGAGGGTCCTTACATGGAATTTTGAATTCTGTTAAATTAGAAATAATTTTTTTTTCCTTATTGCATCAATTTACACAGTCATGTTCAGTCTCCACGATGCCGGAATTTTGTACTATTGAAAATCTGTCTTACCTGATGAATATTTTCTAGGTGATCAAATTTCACAACCAAATATCCATGATTTCGAATTTCAATTTCATCAACATTATCAGATTTTTCAAAAGACGGGAATATACTTACGCACTGTATCAAAACAATGATTGTCATTTATTTTTGTTGAAAACTAGCATTAAGTCAACTTTCAAAAAAAAAAAAGAAAACAAACAAACAATAAAAACTCACATATTAGTAATAGGAGCAAGGTAAGAAAAGACTCCATGCCATAACATTTATTAAATGCAAATTTCCTGCATAATATGAATGCACTGTCCAGGTTGTTTCCTCAGTTTGGTTAGATAAGATAAGACATTTTCTCACAATCTGAAAGAAGGTCAAATTAATAAGTTGGGAACTGATGTAACATTTATTTTTAAAAAGATAAGCTTATTCTAACATATGAAAATAAAAAACCATACTACGTTTACCCCCCGTCCTTCACACATTCGCCTATTGATGTAACTGTTCCTTTTCCATCTTCTGACATCTCAGAAATGTCTTGTATGTTAATAAATAATTCTTTTTGCCGTAATGATTTCTGTAGTTTTACGTCCTGTTCGAATATTTTTTTTTCATTTATATAGATATGAAAGTTGTGAAGATAACAAATGATGTTTCATTTCATGTATTCGATCTCAAAAGTCCATTAAACATTACAAAATAGAGGCTGGAACAAACACGGACTTCCAAAACATCAGAGGTGAGATCAGGGGGAATGGAGGAGTGAGCATCCCTTACCGACCGGTCACCCACAATGTGCTCCATGTTATGTTTGGGCGAAAAACAAGGGAAAAACCGTGGACAACTCAGTGTGTAAATATCCTTACAATCAGTATGAAAAAAGTCAGTCAGCATTTGACTTAATGATAAACTGTATTTGTTAACAAGGTCATTGTATCGACTTTGTTGTTTTTGTGAATCAAGGACGACAATATGTTAACAAATGAATATTGGAAATTATTTTATTGGAAAAAAAATACACAATAAAAAGTTTAATCTTTCATTTAATCGATGGGTAGTCTTTATTTCGTCTTTGTCCCCTACAAAATACAGATAAGAAAAAATGCTGATATATACATAAGTATATGATTTTTCACTTAAGTACAATAACGTTCACATTTATTCTACTATATGAAAACTATGCTATCTTTCATTGGATTTTTCTCGTTTCTATGTAAAATTACACTGCCAGGGACATAAAATACTAGTAATATCAAAGAAGTCTCTTAATTTCGTTAAATCATGTACAATATCGATATCTGCTTTTAGTATATATATTCCACTCAAAACTTTGAAACTAAGACTATAGAAAGGGATCTTTTTGGTCCATGAGGAGGTTTTCGACTTACACATCGACAAGATGGACAAACATCACAGTAACTGGTTTGCTTCAAGATGGAAGGTGTATAGAAGGTTGTTACTTGGTGTTCTGGAAAAACACAATAGACATAATGAAACCATGCTCTATACACTTTTTTAAAATTCAAATCTTGACTTAATGATAAAACGATTCAAGGCTGTAGAGGTATATGATACGGTTAAATATTTAGCAGAATAGTAGAAATTGTCTAAATTCATATTTACCTTTTTAAAATTCTATACATTTAAATGTCATGCTTTTGACATTGTTACAAAAAATACAGGTTATAGACACAAAAGGAAAATCAAAGAGCAACCAATCACACATGGAAACTATGCTAACTCATAAGTGTTTGCTTTCCTTTCATAAAATAAAGCTTTCTTCGCTAGTGCAAATTTCACAGAGCATAAAAATAATTTAAAAACAGTTTTTCATTTCATCCTTAATTGATTTCTAAAGAAAATCTAAATGAGTTTTCTTTTATCCAAGGCATATGTCATTTTAAAGACCTTTTCGGATATATCATAAAAAGTTGATAAAACCACAATTGTGAAAGGGAACCAAATTATGTACCTGGATTATAATACTCGTACACTCGTACAGGTGAAGGTTTTATATTTGCAACCAAAGTGCTTCTTTCCACATTAATCGTGACACAAGCTTCATTCCTGGTGATCTATAAATATATAAAAAGGTTACATGTATTTATTAAATGTTTTTCCATCAAATATTTGTGAAAATTTTAACATTTAAAAATTCTAACCCACGATTTTATATAAAAAAAAGAACGGTGCACAAATTTAAAGTAAATACTGAAAAACTGATTTTACAGTATACCTATTTTCCATTTTTTCTCCTATTTTCAGATAAGTAATATAGGAGTTACTGACCTCATCAAAATATAGTACCACGTTTCTGTCATCGAGTTCTGACTTCCTGAGATTTTGATGATAGCTTATGCTCTCCATGTCAGCTTCATATCCCGACGGGACGCCGTATTCTACAATAGCCATACCGCTCCCCACAGCTGTAGATGTGTTATACCTAAACAATTCGGTAATATTTGTAATCTAGATAAAAGTAAATTATCCTACTTGTAATATATACATAAATACACGTAGAACTTGGCATTTTTTTTTGTTAAATAAAGCTTTTGTACCTTGTACATATCTTTGTAGTTATAGTTTCCATAGTTTCTTTCAGACTTGTTACATCGATCAAGAAGGCTGGTTTTTCTATTTGTTCCTGAACATTATAATTCACTGCCACCTTAAAGAGAACATGTTAAAGTTTACGTGTATTGAAAAGTATTCTGTCACTATATTATCAGTTTAGCATGTCAATGTATAGAGTACTGAGCAGCAATTTATTCAAGAAGTGGTGTGAATCAGATGTGGATACTTAAAAAATCCAAGGGACTTTAGGACAATTTGAAATCGCAAGGTCTTACCTAAGTCAAATTAATTAAAGTCCAGGCTTTTTGATATCATTGACAGCTGCTTTTTCAATAAAAATGGAACTCGTAAATTAACTAACCTTGTTTTAAAAACATTCTGACTGTACACACAAGTATTCTAATATATTAATATTTGTAATCATCTAAATGCAACTGATCTTTTAAAAAATCAAGATAGCAGATATAGCATTATAGGAACTAGGGTATTACTGTAATTAAAATCTTCTTTGTATTGGAATTTGAGCAAAAAAAAACCCATTTATTATTCATGTCGAGACCACTAGATTTTCTGACGTCAGCATAAATTTGTAAATTAGCTACCTGTTTTTACCTACTGCTGAATGAACCGCAATGCATTGTGGGCTACTGCAAGCACACCCAGCTGTGTTAAAAATAAAGGGCAACTTCAATTGTCCCTTGGAAACTTATTTTCAATTCTTTTTTGAGATTTGTGAAAGAAATACTTAAAATGATGTACAATCTTTCATTTCTATGCTCACATTTACAAAATTTGCTTTATGAAGACTTATATCAACTTATAATAGTTACATCGGCCTAAACCATTGTTCAAAGAGACGTAGGTGCTATCGTGTCGATAAAACATTGATTTTTTTTTTCACGTGATATACTTGTAGATAGTTTTAGCAGGTACATGTAATATATAGGTCCTTGGTTTACACAGCAGGAGAAGGTTTGCAATTATTATTTAATTCCTCAATATTATCAGAAAGTGTTTTATGTACACGTACATGTAAACGTCAAAGCGTTTGTACGGTATTCGAAGCAACTATTAATCATCTAAAACAAGTCTAATATTAAATGTGAGCATGAAGCAATGTCTTTAGAATATAATCTTTCAATTTCAAGTGGTAAAAAAGCTCTCCAGTTTTCCGGTGACGAGTTAAATATTGTGCAGTAAACCGACGAAAACCATGTGTCACCATTGAATCGTAAACACGTACTAGACTGTCACGCTTTGGGACTCATTCACTTGATTGGAGAACGGGTGTGACAAAGACATCGTCAGGTGTTGAAAATTGCCTATAAGGTAGTGGTCTCGACCTGTTATAGAAAGCACTATAACTTACCTGGACCAAAGCCACTCCGTGACCACTTGCTGTAACATTAACCATGTCTGGAACTCCAGAGGGCTGTATAATGCAAAATAAATGCGATGTTGGGAAATGCATTATGAAAATAGAAAAAGGAAAATTCCATTCAAACTATAACCGACTCCACATAAAATTTTATTCCCTCCAAAAATAATCTTATTCTTTGCAGGAATATCATACTGTTTTCTAGGAATGCCTTATCCTATGGATAAAGGGTATAGAATAACAAGGCAATATATTTTTCCTTAATTATATGAATAGTAAATTTAGTTCAAATTTTTAAAATTATCTAATTGGGTCTCAAATATGCTGTTCAAATATGTTTGGCAATCGATATCTTACCTGAAATTTCTGAAGTACCATCTTGTTTCTCTCATTGACATTGAAACTGTGACTTTCATTGTGAGTGTTGACCTTGACATTTAAGTCTAGGTGTGAATTTACAGACGGGGAATGTGTAAGTTCGGACAATGCTTGTAAGGCCAGAACGGTGTCCTTATGAATAAAATGTTGTATAACAGTAAATATTACTATATTTGCATATTGATTTAAATTGAGATTTATATATATTTAAAAGTATTATTATTTCATATTTTTTATTTGTATTTCTTTTAGTCTTTTTGAAATAAATTTTTAAATTATGTAATGCAACGACAAGTTCATAATCACGGTAGATATTACAGTTGCCTTTTCCTAGTACTATTGCTTGAAACTCGACCCTAGAAGTAACAGAGATAAAATTTTGTCTATTGATTCAAAATTACCTGAGTAGACGCAAAGCCTCCATTTGCATTTCTTTGTTTTAGAATCCATTTCAGTATTTTCTGCGCCTGAACATATTGCTGACTCTTCATATAATAGAGGAGTGTGTATGCCGACGTCTCAATATCTACTGGAGTTGCTCGAGTGTTGGGACTATTCCAGAGATAATTTGGAGATTTTCCAGATGACTCCCATGGCAAGTCAATATCAACAACTGCAAAATGACGAACTCATATAAAATCAACATTGATTTGCAGCTTTCAGAAAATTTGACAGTAAAGCAGGAATAAACTGAATCACTTATTTCCTGTAATCAAAAAAAATATTGGGCTAACCCGACAAATGAACACAACTCACCATGACAATTTTCACCACCCAGGGATAGCTGGACCTGTTGAAGAGCATTATAGTCGGACACTCTGAATACGTGATTGATATCAGAGGCAATATTTTCTAACTCTCTTTGTCCAATTCCACTTCCGATGCCGATAGAATAAGTAGTGACTCCGATAGATCGCAGCGCTTCAGCAGCTACTTTTGTGGCGGCAGGATTGTTAGATTGTCCGTCTGTTATTACGATTACAATTCTGC